GCAAATACTCTCCCTCCAGCTACCTCCAGCTTTGCAATGTCCATCCCGCCCCCTCGCTTGCAGCTCGGCACAGACGGATGCCAGAGGCACACTGCAGTGGATATCGGTCCTCCAAGGGGAGGCAGGCCTGGGGGAGGGGGAGGAAGGTCAGAGGTGCCTGCAGGCCCACTAGAGGGCATTGTGCCAGTGGGTACGTTGGCAGGAAATGGGCCTGGTACAGCTCATGGGCCTGGTACAGCAGGGGGCAGCAGGGGGAAAGAGAGGAGCTGGGGGTAGGGGATCTGCTATGGGGAGCTCACCCGCTGCTGCAGGTTGGCTAAGGGGGAGGCTTGGTCCTATCCAAAACATCTCCCGTCACTAGCTGCTCCATGCACTTGCCCCACAGCTGCCAGGGGATGTACCCCACAGCTGGAAGGGGATGTGCCCCATGGCTGCCTTCCCCTAGCCGGGTGCCTCACTGCCAGGAGCTTGGTGCCCGGGATGAGGAATGTAGCTGGCCAGGAAGGGAAGGCTGGGCTGCGGGAGAGAAGTCTATTTCTCAGCAGCCTCATGCTGCGATGGCCAGGTTATAGATCTTAATAACAGGCCAGAACAGTGATGGAGCCTCACTGCCCCTAACGCCACTCGTCCTGCAGCTATTTTCGGTGGCGGCTCGGCCGCACGCCACCTGGGAGGGATGTGATGGATGGCCACAGCCTTCAATTGAGTCGTAAGCCTAGGTAAGAGCCCGTCAAAGGAACAGATGGTCTCAGCTTCCACCTCCCAGCGCCAGCCACGGCCGTTCCTCCTCGCAGTGGCCTGGCCCACCTGAGGGCTATTTCTGACCAGCGCTGCCCTGGGATGAATGGGAGGGGAAACCAGGCACCAATCCCTGGACCGTGCCTGGCTGCAGTGAGTGCTGGGAGGACTCAGACCCCCGGAGGCCCGGCTGCTGAGGGAGCTGCCTGACTGGGCCAAACTGCAAAGGGAAGTGGGCAAACAGGTGTGACTGGGAAGTGCCCCCAGCCGCTGGCAGAGCAAAGAATCCACCCACAGCTCCTGCCTGCCACCAACTGCCAGGGGCACCGAGTCCCTCTCTAGCGTGCCGGGGATGTCACAGCTGGCTGGCAGGTTCAGCATGTCCGAGACCTGCGCAGGAAAAGAGCAGACCCTCAGTGAGAGGGGCCGTAGCAGGGCCGGGTGCTGCTGATGCCTGCCCACTTACTGCCCCACCCCCAGGTCAATGGAGGGCAGGCCGTGGCCGTGGCTCCGCTCTCTGGTCTAGGGGAGACGCTGTGTCATTCTGCACTGGGACAGGAGGGAGAGTAACTGGGGGAACGTCCCGGCCTGGGGAGGGGCCATATCAAAACTGCTCCCGAGCCTTCAGCACCAGGTGGCATCTCCCCACCACAGACAAGCGGCACTGCCAGGGGGACGTGTCCTGCTCTCGCACTGCGGGGCGCAGACCGGACTCCACGCTGCCTCGTGCTGCCTGAGAGCCGGGGGAGAGGAACAGGCCGCCTTCCCCACAGCCTTGGCTTGGGCAGAGCCCAGCTTCTCCTGCCTCCCCATGCTATTCGCCTGTTATCACTCCTCGGACAGGCCCAGTAAGCCTGCCAGAGAGGGACCTCAGGAGATCTGGGTTCTAATTCCTGACTCTGCCTTGGGCTACCTTGGGCACGTTCCCGGGGCCTCAGTTCCCTGTCTGTGAAATGGGGCTCTGGTACCCACCCTCCGCTCCCGCCTCACGGGGGATGAAGGGGGGGTGTCCATAAATGCACACAAGGTGCCCAGATACCACAGTGAGGGGCCTCTGGAAAAGGCTATCAGCAAAGATGAAGCCCTGGAGCGGTCCTGGAACCATGGCCTGGTGCCTTCTGCTGCACAGGGCTGAGCTCCCTAGCAAGGGTAGGGCGCAATTGCTCATCGTGTCTTGGATCTCGCCGGTGTGCCGCTCTAAGAGAATCGGCTCAGCGGTTTATGCTGCATGGCATGAAGGGCTGCAAAGCCACGTCCCCCCGGCCGCCTTGTTCACCGGCCCCAGGGTGTGTCATCCTTGGCCAGAGAAGGAGCTCTGGTATTTTTACACTCCTCGGCGTTAGCTCCAGGAGGGCGCTGTCCCTTCTCAGCCCAGGCCTGGTGCCAGAGATGCCACGCCCTGCTGCAGCTGCACATGTGCCGCATACGGTTCTGAAACACACCTGGCACTTTCCTGGAGAACCTGAAAACACTGCTCCCCAGGGGGCTGCCGGGGAAGGAAGAATTAGACCAACAAGCTCCATTAGGCTAGATCTATTATTGATGAGGCTGCTGCAGGAATTGCTTTGTTCATGCCTTTGCTTGAGGCAAGTATTCAGGGAACATTCCCTAGGACGGCAACTTCCACTTGTGTTAGGAGCCTTCTGCTTGGACTCAGGCACAGCCCAAGCCCGAGGTGGGGACCTCAAAGCACCCAGTCTGCGGTGCAGGAACCTTCCATGCCTGGGGATGGAGCCTGGAGAAGCAATCAGGAGTCTGGCTGCCGCCGGTCCACCGGGAATCTGGAAAACTGAACACGTTCCCTGCAGAGATTTCACAAGCATCCTGCTTCTGGGCAGCCCCACGAGCTGCTCCTTTCTTGCCGAGTTTTGGATCATGTGTTTCCAGGCACATGCAGGACATGCAGAGGGGCAGTGAAAGTGAAAAAGAATTGGGAGGGGGGCGGTGTTTCTTGAACTTCAAATGATCAAATTTCATTTGGTGCCACGGTTGGGTCGGTTCTTATTTCATCGGCCCCAGTATGCCCATGGCCCACTCCAAGCGGCAGCACGTCTCATTCCGGCACCAAGCAGCCGCATTAGCCCAGGTGGCAGCTGCCCAGGTGGCGGCTAATCAGAACGCAGGTGGCGTCCGCATGAGGAGACGTTCCACACGCCCTGCCCAGATGCCATGTGTACTTAGGTAAACATTTACTGAACACCAGCTGGCGTCTAATTAAGTCACCGTTAACGGGAGTCCCGGGGTCCGATTACCAGCACAAGGCTTGCCAATGAGCGTGACATTAGGATGCTGTATGTGACGCTTTCCTTTGAAGCTCCCCTTATTGTTAGCTGGAGGGGTGAAACTGGGTCAGGAACAGTGTAATGGGCAGCGGCTTCCGCCCTCAGGATTCCCCTGAAGCTGGCGCTGTGCTGGAGGGATACTGCTTTAACTCTGGGCATCATGAAGTTAGCGCTGTGGCAGGTGGCCGCAGGATTTCTCTGCAGCTCTCAGGGGAATGGCTGTAATACAGGGATTCTGTGCTAAGCCACACAGCTCTGCATCCCAAACCTTCCTCCAGACAGCAAGCAAGGAGCCCTCTGCCTGAAGACATGAGCCAGGTCTCAGCATCGTCTCTCCCTGCCTTCCAAGAGCTGTCTCCATGCATCCCATAGACAGAGGTTCCCCTGGAGTCTGCCACACTGCAGGTTGCACCCCTGGCCCTGTGGCCCGTCCTAACCAAGGAAGGGCAAATCCCGCAAGGGCCGAACTGACCGCCCACCCACAACTTGAGACGAACCTTTCTCTGGGTTTGAAAACATTCGCTTCACTTTCGACTCTGTCTCGCTTTCACGGCTCCCTCTGCACTTCCCGGAGCCGAGGGGCCTAAGCACCAGCTGAGCCGGATGCCACCTGGAAATCCCACGAGGAAGGCAACTGCAGAGCAATGAGGGCTTGATACTTCCCAGAAGGTCAGAGAAGTCTCCAAAGCCCAGAACTCCCTGAGATTCCCACGGGAACCATCACCAAGACTTGTCAGTGTGGCCTTCTGAAGAGCTGCTGTTAGGGAACGTTAGGGGCCCAGTTCTCTCCTCAGTCCCCGAGCAGAGTGACGTGGCGCAGACGCGGCTCTGAGCAAACGGGTGGGTCCAGTTGCATTGACACCCAAGGGTGCGGCACCTCTCTTAGAGCAGCATTAAGCAGGCTGCTGCCTCTACAGCTCCGTAGGCAATCTGGGCATGCCGCTCGGTCGCTCCAGTTCTTCTCCCCGTTAATAACAGGGTTATTAGAGGAAGCGCTGGAGGACTCGGATGAAGGGAGGGTGGGTGCATGGCTCACACTGGGTCTTAGAACACTCATCTGCAGACCTGGGGGGATGGGCAGGCCTGCATACCTGCAGCTGGTGCTGAGCGTGGTCTGGTCTCCAGCCCTGCAAGAGGAATGCAGCCCACCTGTGTCCTGATGGCTGTACTAGGGGCTGGGCATCAGGCTGCCCCGGGGACGATTCATTGGCACAGCCTCCTCTTTCTGAATGAACTCAATGCAGGGCCTGTGAAAGGGGCCAGACACAGAATCCTGCCGGGCCCCCAGGACCCAATGACCTGAGAGGTCTTCTACATCTCGGACGTCCGTGGGGCTGATGTCCTCTGGCTGCGCCTGCAGCAGGCACACAGCTCAGGTGGTGACCGAGCCTGTTCCCCCACCCCCATGGCTCCTTAGCCCTGCCCTCTGGTGAGGGAGATGGTCCCTAAGCCCCTGGCCCATTCAGCTGGCATCTCTGCAGTGCCCATGGGGGAGGTGGCGGCATTAGGAGGTGGGTATTCATCCACGAAGACAAGAAGCTGTGAACAGCCACGGCACTGCATCTCATAGGCTCAGCCGGTTGTGGCCCCGGCACAGAGTGCGCCCTAAATCAAAGCACGGAGAGCGGGCAGCGCAGTGCTTTAAAGATCAGGGCGAAATCATTGTGGCAGGTCAGGGCCCCTTTGCGCTGGGTGCTGCACACGCAGGACGAGGAGCCCTGTCCCCTCCCCCCAGAATTAAGTATCGTTATCCCCAGAATTAAGCATCGTTATTCCCAGAAAATGGAGTGACTCCCCCAAGGAGCCTGTGACTGGGCTAGAACTGACCCCAGATCTCCTGCGTCCCAGCCCAGAGCTGTAGCCGCACCTTCCTCCTTGTGTCTAACACATTGTGAGACAGCCTCATGGGCAGCTGGTCCGGCTGTATCAGGAGAGATTCTGTTTCATGCGTGTTCAGTCTAAAAAGCCCTGTGCCTTTAAACAGAGGCCATCTTTTGCTAATAGGCCATCAGACGAGGTACCTGCCATTCCCTCAGCTCAGTGGTTTGGGCTTAGCCTGCGTAATTGTTTCCTGGGTATGCCCAGAAGTCAGAAGCTGGGAGAGTTGCATATGGGGCAGGGGGAGCTGTCTCCGGGGACTCAGTCCCAGGGAGAGTGGAGTAAATCCCACGTCAATTTCTGCTCATTAAAGCTGCAGGGCGATAGCTGTTCCAAGCACGCGGGGAGCCGCTCTGATGCTGATGGAAAACGCCTGCTGTCAAGCATCCTCCCGCCAACGCTCAGAAGAGACAGCTGGGGAAGGAGACATGATCGGCTTTTACCACGTGCACGTTCCCACCTGCCTGCAAGGAACAAACCCGAACGCAGTCTGGTACCTGAGAGCCGGGATGAGCTGCCTCTGCTGAAGGGCAGCGGGGCCTGGAAGGCGTAGACGCTGTCGCCCTCCGCGATGGCGTTCAGATCCTCCTCATCGTGGAAGGAGCGCTGGAACCCGCTGGGGGACAGCTCCACCAGGATCACCTGCAGCGCAGGGGAACAGTCAGCGACCCCAGCTCCCTCCCATAAGGGTGTTGAGGAGAAAACCGCCCTGTGGCCACGGTCTCTCCTGCATCTGGAGAGCCTCGAGCTTGCAGAACAACTAAAGGGTCCCAGGGTTGCCAGGGGCCTCCACACAGCAGCTCAATGCAGCGAACATGGACATGTCCACGGGGGGACTCTGGAGCTAAGACATGAGCTGCAGCAGCTGGGAGCCAGGCTGACAGGGCTGGAGCACGCCTGTACCACCTGTAAGACACACTCACCAGGGGGTTCCATTCACGCCCCACCGCCTGGTGCTGCAATGCCATCTGGCATTTGTGGCACGACGCAGTGTGTCCCGGCACCAGAGCGGCTGAGACAAAGCGGGGGGCCCCTTCCTTGCCATGTGAGCCCTGCCTGGCCAGAACGGGCATTCCCAGTGCCGCCAGGAGTGTGTTCGGCAGGGCGGGTAGCTGGCCACCTGGCTGCTCCAGGCTTGAGACAGTGGGAGGGAGGGTCTGGTCCCAACTCACCTGATCGGGGGTGATTTTGCCTTCTTCTGCCACCATTGCCCTGAGGGTCGCCACGGTGCTGAAGAGGGGCACCGCTAAACCTATCCGCAGGAACCGCTGGCTCTTGGACTGGAAGACTAAGGTGACATTCAAGGGCCTGAAAAACAGAGGAGCAGATGGGCTCCAGAAAGCCAGTAAGCAGCTAATGGGGGGGCCTCCCCTTGGACTGTCTGTGCCCCAGGGCACCCGAGCTCTTGTTCCGGCTGGGAATTAGGATACGCCGTGTGTTCCCAAGCCCGTGCAGGCAGTGATGAGCGCAGACAGCTGAGCGCTGACCCAGGAACATACCTCAGCACAGAGTCTCACCGTAAGGGCCACAAACATGTGGAGCTCAGTTCTGCCCTCCGCTGAGCACCTGCCCCTGCTGCTGGAGCATGCAGCCGGGGAAGAATTACCCCATAACATTTAACACCATGGTCTGGTGGTCCGGCCCCTTTAAAGAGCAGTGGGGCTCGGGGCCAGCCATGCCTAGTCCATGACATGGCCCCTTTCAGGAAACAGGAGTTTAAGGGTGCAGCAGACACGCTGGGGACGGGATACACCCCACTTTGGAGAAGGGAAGAGGTGCTGCAAAGCAGGGCCGGAACCCAGTGTTGGTGGACTGGCAACGCAGGCTTCACCCATTGCACAGCCCCAAGCATGAGGGCTAAGGAATCCCTTAACCCAGGGGCAGGGTTTAGGCCTGTGGGTTTTATTAAGACTTAATACCTCGGACCCAGCTAGGGGGATACTGAGGTAGGACCTCTGCGCTGCTATGGACATGTGACTTGGGAGCAGTCAAAAGACGGTGAGGGTGGTGCGCCCGCAGGGCCATGCTGTGCCTTGAGGAGACTGCTCCGGGACAGCACCCGATACACTTTTCCCACATCACAAGCATTTCCCGTTGCTCTATCACTGAGTCGGGGCTGCACACAGGGGAGCATCAGACTAGAATTCTGGCCATCGAAGGGCTATGGGAGGCACCCTATCGTGTAGGTCTGTTTAGGGAAGTGGTTCCCAAACTTGGGCCACCGCCTCTTCAGGAAAAGCCCCTGGCGAGCCAGGCCGGTTTGTTTACCTGCCATGTCCGCAGGTTCGGCCGATCGCAGCTCCCCCTGGCCGCGGTTCGCCGCTCTCGGCCAATGGGAGCTGCAGGAAGCGGCACAGGCCGAGGGACATGCTGGCCGCCGCTTTCCGCAGCCCCCATTGGCCTGGAGTGGCGAACCGTGGCCACTGGAAGCTGCGATCGGCCAAACCTGTGGACGCGGCAGGTAAACAAACCAGCCTGGACCACCAGGGGCTTTCCCTGAACAAACAGTGCCCCTAGTTTGGGAACCACTGGTTTAGGGTGTGGTTTATTACAACCCAGCAGTAGCTCCCACAGCCTGGGCCTCGCTCATCCGCTGGCTGTGTGGATGGCAAAGGCGTCCCATCAGGGCAGCCAGCGCTCACTAGCCCTGCTGTATCTGCAGCTGCAGAACATCCTGGGATAGCACTGGCCCTTTCATGGTAAAGCTAGAACATAGGTAAAATAGCTAGAACAAAGGTAAAACAGAGAAATGTAGGGGCTGGCAGGGACCGCGGGAGGTCACCCCGTACATCCCCCTGTGCTGAGGCGGGGGAAATAACCCTAGACCATCCCTGACAGGGGTTTGTCTGACCTGCTGTTAAAAACCTCCATTGGCGGGGATTCCACAACCTCCCTTGGGAGCCTAGTTCCAGAGCTTAACTGCCTTTAGAGAGAGAAAGTTTTTTCCTAATATCTGACCTAAACCTCCCTTGCTGCAGATTAAGCCCATTACTGCTTGTCCTTCCTTCAGTGGGCATGGAGAACAATTGATCCCCGTCCTTTCTAGAACAGCCCCTTAGCATATTTGAAGACTGTGATCAGGTCCCCCCTCAGTCTTCTTTTCTCCAGACTAAACATGCCCAGTTGTTTCAACCTTTCTCACAGGTCCGGTTTTTAAAACGTTTTCTCATTTTTGTTGCACCACAGCCCCTCACGCCCCTCAGGCGAGGGTGGAAATGCTACGGAGGCCCCTCTGCATGGGGTGACTGTTGCCCGGAGTGAGGGGCTGAGTCCTGGTGGGGGTCTGTGCAGGGCAATCTTGGGGCAGTGGGTGCTCCAGAGAAGGAAGCCTGAGGAGATGTCAGCCTGTGGGGCATTTCCCTTTGTGTGTGGCTAGAAATAGCCTTATCGCTCATCTCCTTAGGTGGGAGATCCGTGGCTTGGGGAGGCTGGCAAACTGGCTCTTGGAGTTGGGCTGAGACAGCCAGATGGATTTCACTGGGACACTGAGCTGGGTTTGAACCCAGACCTTCAAAGGGGAAATGCCAGTGCAGTCTCCTGAGCTCCCACGCCTCCCGCAGCTCAGACCCCCAGATTGTCCAGCCCCAATCCCCCCACACCCTGCACTTCCTGAACACTCCATTGCATCACCCAACTTCACCTCTCCCCCCCCCCCCGCCAAGCTCCCCCCTCAGCTACCCAGCCCCAGGGTCACCTCCAACCCCAAGGTCACCTGATCTGTCCCCCCTGTCCCAGGAGAGCTCCTCACCCTCTGCCTCCCTCGCCCAAGCCCCAGCCCTGTCCTTCGCTAAGGGAGATGGGGAGGTGGGTGCCTGGACTCCCCATCAGCGCTCCAGGAGCCGACACGGGTAGGAGTCCTACCACATCGCTCTTGGTGCTGTCCTTTTGCTCTGCCATCAAGCAGAGAGAGACACATGAACTACAGCAGCCAGCCGAGGACTGAGCCGGGCCTGTTCCCAGTACGCACTGCTCGCCCGGGTAAGTGCCTGCCCTCCACCTGCTCCCAGCAGGCTCTGATCTTCAGCGCAGCAAGAGCCGTGGGCCGGGGCAGCCATCCCTCATCAGGAGAATCCCAGCCTCTGAACCGCTTGGTGTCGTTCCCAGCTCTCTGCGGTGCCTCCCCACACAGCCATGCTGCAGCCTCGGGAGTGAGACAACGTGGCCTTAGACCTGCTCTGCAAGGCACTCAGCCCCTCCCAGGCGCAGTGCCTGTCAGTAAGACAGAAATGCCCTAGGAGTCCATGCAGGCAGCCCCACCTCCTCTGCTCCCCTGGGGGATGTCTGCACTGCACCAGGCGGGAGCCCCTGGGTTGGCCTAGCCCGGAAATGAGTAGCAGCTCCACTGCAATGCCCTGCCCCAGTTACTGCGCTCACCTGTGTGTGTCACTGGGACTTCTGGGGCACATGTCCTGGTCCTTTGGGCTGCAGCGAGCAGAGCCACTCTCTGCGTCTTTCCCAGGGGATTGTGGGAGAACCTGCCTGTCCTGGCCCCCCTGTGGAATGGGGGGGCACCAATGGCACTCGAGGGATTTACCCTGGGTCCTCACTGCAAAGTGGGGAGGGGGTTCCCAGCCCCAGTGAAAGCAGCATGTGGGCTCCCACCCACCCCCAGCCAGACCGGCTAGCCCAGGTTGGAAGCATTTCTATACAAGTGAGAGGTGGTTGTGTGTGGGCGGAGGGGACTCAGGGGCAAAACCGGGCTAACTCCCTAGTGAAGACAGACCCTTCATGGCAGCGGCTCTGTTAACACCTCATGAGCTGCTGGCGGCTGAGCCAGGACAACATGGCCTGGATGCTTCACAACACATGCACCAGCGTCCGGGCTCTGCCTGAGGCCAAAGCCAGCCAGACCAGGGCTCGCCCAGAACCCCCGAGGCAGGAGCCCTTAGCTGCCAAGCTCCACCCCAAGCCAAAGTGCCCCCAGGTCTCCCCCAGCTTGGCCCGCTCCCTAGGGAATAAAGAAGCCAGGTCGGCTCTTCACTGCAGGCTGGTGCCAGGCATGGAGCGGGTTCCGTGCCCAGGAGGAGGTGACGCTCTGAGCCCTCACTGGCTCTTACCACACATGTTCTTGCAGCCTGCCTTTCATGCACTTCCCAGCTCTCCCTGTCCCCGGGCTCAGCCCAGCCTGGCAGGCAGGCGAGCTGCTTCTCTCCAGCGCGTCCCCTAATTGCAGCACTTACGTTTCATTTAGCCGAGGCGCCGGGCAGGCTGACAATAGCACTGCTGTGCAGAGGCACTCGTGGCATTTGCCTGTCAACAGTGAAATAGAGGGTCCCCTCCCGCTCCGCCCCGGGAGACACGTCCGTGCCCTCTGCTGCCTGTCTGTGCCGTGCTGCCGCTGCCTTGTTCCTTACCCTTTAAGCTGAATGAGCAGGTTTATCGTCCGAGGGCTGACAGCACCAGTGCCAGCTCTCGGGGACAGCTCTCAGTGGGCAGAGCCTTCACCGTGCGGCGGGAGATAACGTTTGAGGCAGCGCTCGGCATGGCAGACAGCCCCCCGACCCCGCTGGCAGCTCTCGGCTCCCAGGCAGCGCCGGCTGCCTGCGTAAAAACAGCCCAGGTCTCCACTGATTGTCCCCGCCTGCTCCACAAGCTCAGCGCCAAACTGGTCAAAAGGCAGCCAGCTGCCAGGGGCCGAACTCAAGGGAGGGCTTCGCTGGCAGAGACGCTGGCGCCAGGAATGCACAGAGCCCGGTGCGATCCAAGGTGGGCACATCCAGCTTGCAGACCCCCGCTACCACAGCCTGAGAGCACCTCGCGGCCTTCACCCTCCCCACAGCCTTGCAGCCCTGCTATCCCCATTGTGCAGATGGGGGAACGGAGGCACCGAGAGAGCAGGTGACTTGCCCCAGGAAACAAAGGAAGTTCTGTTGCAGAGAGCAAGGATTTGCACCCAGGTCTCCCAAATCCCTGGCTAACACCCTAACCACTAGCCTATCCTCCCTCTCCCACTGACCTCCCAGGACAACGGCCACCTATGCCCCGTGCTCTGCCCCTGCTCCAAGACCAGCCTTTCAGTCCCCTGATCCGAATGGTGGGGGGTGGGAGTCCTCAGGGGAGCCCACTCCCCAGAGCTGACAGGCCCCATATCCCTCGAGCCAGGCAGTTGCTCCCAGCTGCCAGTGGTGACCAGGGAGTGCCCCAGGCAGCAGGGGCTGCCCATTTTGATACCCAGGCTGATCCCCTGAGCAGAGCTAGGTGGGCAGGGCAGAGGGGAGCACAAAGATGGTCTAGGTTCTGTAACGCGGTCTCACCTATCTATCTATCCACACAAACACCCATCCACCTGTCCATCTATCCCCAGAAAC